ATATTCTATTTTAGCCCTACTTATTTTGAAATCTTTAGATTCAAGCACCTCTCTTCATGTTTCTAACTTAGCATTTATCCCCTTCTCTTCTCATCTACTAACAATATGTCATCCGCTAACAACATGCAACCAGTGACATCCAATTGCAAATGTTTCAAAAGTTCATCAGTTACTAATGCAAAGTGATACAGACTCAACGTCGAACTTTGATGCAAATTAATAGTGATAGAGAATTCACTTGATATCTCTGCCGGTGTCCTAAAATAACTTTTCATATTATTATATATATTTTTGTGGTTTCTATAAAACCAACCCGCTCTCCCTCCCTATTTTCAAACACTCTCCACATTATACCTCTATTAACACTATCATATGCTTTTTCAAGGTCAATAAAGACCATATGCGCATTTTGTTTTTCCTCGTTAAAATGTTCACAAAGTCTTCTTATTAAATGAATAGTTTCCATTGTTGATCTTCCCAACATAAAGCCAAATTAGTTTTCCATTATGTTTATTTCTTGCTTTAGTCTAGTTTCTATTACTCTCTCCCATAATTTCATTGTGAGACACATTAGTTTTATGCCCCTGTAATTTGCACAATTTTGTATATCTTCTTTATTCTTAAACAAAGATATTAATGTACTTTTCCTGAATTGGTTGGACATTTTCTTACTATTCATGATTATGTTAAACAAGTTCATAAGCCATTCAATTCTAAATTTACCAAGGCATCTCCATGCCTCTATTGGAATATCAACGGGACTTGTGGCTTTGACATTTTCATTTTTTGCATTGTTTTCTCTACTTCTTTGGTTTGAATTTTTCTATAGCATGTGAAATTTTTATATTTCTCACTTTTCTCTAATTGCCCTAGCGATATTTTTCTATTATCTACTTCATTAAATAGTTTATGAAAATAATCTTTCCACCAATTCGTTATCTTTTTATCATCAACTATAGCAAATGCCATAATTCAGACAAGTCTGACTAAAGCAAATCCAACTAAGAATGAGAAAATGGGTTTAACATGGGATTTGAGGTTTTGTGTTGTCAAGCTCACTCTATGCCTCCTTGAAAGTGTAGACACGGTGATTTTTTTGAATAAGAAGCCTCCAATCTCAGTGACCCGCAACACAATCAAAACGAAATTCTCATCGATCTGCAAAAAAAGAAAAAAGAAAATTAACAAAGATAGCGATTTTGAAGTGGAAAAATATGTCCGCTTGTTTTAGAAAAGGTTTTTTTGGCAAGATGTTAGAAACCTGAATGTGGGTCGCGATTTTTTTAGAATATAAGGTGCAATTTTTATTGGACTTGAGATGAAGAATACATGTGGTCAGCTGAAACCGAGTTGTTATCTCCGAGTGACGAAACCCTAGCTTTCGGGTGGAAAATTGAAAGTGATGGAGATAAACACAAATTGAGTATACAAGTAAGGGTAAAAAAGTAATATGAAAAAAAGGCTTGTAAGAGAAGGATAGTGTATCAGGGATCTTCGGTTGGATCGATAATAAGAAATACTGTGTTTACAACTAACAAACCTATCTCTTTTAAAGGGCCTATAAGTTACATGCCAAACTACTTACAAGTCTAAAAATAATAACAAAATGAAGGATATCAATTTCAATCAGAGTTCTGAAAATCGGACTGGATCATCTAGTTCGACTGGTTCAATCGGGAACTAATTTATACACCGGTCCAGTTTGAGGTATGGAATTACTGGGCTCCAAAACCGGATAAAAATCGTTGAAACTGGGTAAAATTGTTTGTACCGATCAAAAATGGTAAAACTGTGAAACCGGTTGCGAGTTGTGCGGCCCAACGGTCGAGCTGTAGACTTTAAGTGGCAGTAGTTGTGTAATCATTAAAATCCCTGAACTTCTTTGTTAATTTTTCCGACGTGGGATGGTCCCCAATGAAGCATTACTGAAATTATTAGGCCGTAGTGGATTATTGATTTATTTCTCATGCCCAAAACCATTTTCTGTTGGGTGAAACTATATAAATAAAGCCCAAGGTTAAGCAAAGACATTATTTCTCATGCCCAAAATGAGGAAAAAAAAAAATAAAAAAAAATTCAAAAATGAGAAAAATAAAACAATGCATATTGCTTATAACTTGTAAGCCTACACTTGGAATCACACATGATAGTTAAAATATAAATATAATTAGTATATTTATTTTTTATCTTTACTTATTTTAAAAAACATTATTATATCCTTTAAAATTAATAATAAAAATATATACAGTAATATATTATATATATAAAATAAATAAAAATTAAATATATTAATTAAATTAGTTCGACCACTAGTCCAATCAGCGAACATTGAACCAATAGCTTTACCGGTTCAATTTTCAAGAACCTTAGTTTCAATCACAACACAACCGAAGCGGGCTTTAGAGAAAAAAAACTAATTGGTACATGATTAACTGTAAACAAAATAGTTTGTATAACAAATTGTAAACATGTGTGACAAACCTAGTACTTGGACAAGGATCTTGGTCTTGGCTTGCGCCCTGCCCTATCGCTCGCGCTCTTTCACTAACTTCCCATAATCCTGCGCCTGCTAATCATCAACAAAACCATCGTCAAAACCAAAGCATAACCAATTCAGCTACGCCAACCTCGTGTAATTCGCCCCCATCTAACCTAGGCTTTCATAGCACTGGCATCTCTATTTTTTCTCTCACACACACACCCCCAATATCTTCACGCTCGCCATCACATCACTCAACGATGGCGTCCACTCTATTCTCACAGTCTTTGTTCTCCGCCCAGACGTCTTCCAAGTCGCCGATTTCGAAGAAAATCGCGCCCCTCTCAGTTTCAGTCAAGCTATTTCCGAACATTTCCAGATCCGATGTCGTTTCAACGCATTCTAAGAAGACCCAAAAAATTTTTATCGCCAACTCCGCATCATCCGGCGATGGAAGCTCCACGGCGGAGACCCCAATCGAACTGAGTACGAATTATCGATGGGTCGACTTACAAATGTATTTCATTTAATTTTTATTTTTTCATTTTGTTCGTGATGTTCTTTTTATTTTGTTTCTTCACAGGGTATCCTGCATTTCCCACGGTCATGGATATTAATCAGATTCGGGAGATTTTGCCTCACCGGTGCGTGAATTTTCTCACATTTTGTTTGGATTAAGTTTTTCTAACCTGTTCATATGTCTCTTTTAGTGCCAGTTCCATTTAATTTTGTAAATGTTACATTTTTATTCCCTTTTGTTGTATATAGGTTCCCCTTTTTGCTAGTGGATAGAGTGATTGAATATACTCCTGGGGTGTCGGCCGTTGGAATCAAGAATGTGACTATAAATGATAATTTTTTTCCCGGTCATTTTCCAGAGAGGCCAATAATGCCTGGTGTGTTAATGGTTGAGGTAATTAAAATTGAGTTCTTTTTATGGATTTATAGTATTCATAACATACATTGCTTGCTAGTGGTACATGAATCAAACTTTACTTTTTGTTATATGTATGATTGTAGATGTTTCAGTTCTATTGTACTGAATACCACCTTTGCAAGTCGATGTAATGTTTTTGGTATCTGTCAGTAGTTTTAGTTTTTGGTACTAAAGATAATTGTACTTCATGTGGATATCTTGTTTAGGAGTCTTTACTGTTCGAAATTGGCTTGGTTGAAAATGAAAATGTATAAACACATCTAGCTACAAATTCATTTTCAGACACAAATCTGACATCCTGAGTTGCATTTCGTTTCATGAAAAATTATTTATTTTTTTCCTGTGAAAATGAGTATAAAATGTTTCAAACTTCATGTTAAGTACATTGCTCTTACATGCTAAGTTTTAGTTCTATATTTTCTTGATTGAGGCATATTATGTGCTTGATAGACGTACAGAAATTTTACATGGGATTGTTATCAAATGTGTTAAGAGTGACTACTAAGTTAATCATGTGAGGAAAGTTTATTAACCCATTTATTGAATATCCCGATTCCAGATTCAATACTATATTGGTGTTAATAGCCTATTCCCTTAGGTCATACATGGAATTTTCATAAGCTAGCACTTTGAGGTTTTTGGGAGCATTTAAAACAATCGAAAAATTTTAGAAGGCTTCATTAATGTTATTCATGGGAAGTAAAATTGTTATATTTTCAGTTTATAAAATGTGTCAAACGGGTCTTAGCACTACTGGTAGGCAGATCCGTTTGCGCTCTACTTTAATATGATCTAATACACCCAAAAGATAATGCTGTTGTGATGTGTTTAAATTTTTGGAAGTTCACAACTAAAGTTTGCTGAGAAGGTAAACTATATCTCTTCCATCTGTCCACATTTGACTGATCCTGTTGCTTACCGCTTGATAATTTATGAAAAATCTCTCTCCAGAAAATGCTGTGCAACACCTAATTCTTAGAGAAGTCCCTTCCTCTAGAGCATCAGCATCTTTGTTAGGGCCAACTGCAGAACATTTTTTCTGAGGTTTAGTTTAATGACAAAAAGTATGAGAATCTTTCAAAATTACAAACCAGTCCCTGATATTTATCTTAGTTTACAATTCACACCTTCACTAGCTTACATTTTTACATGGACTTATGCATATGTTACTGGGCTCAGGCAATGGCCCAAGTTGGCGGCTTGGTCATGCTACAACCTGAGGTTGGAGGCTCACGGGAAAATTTCTTCTTTGCTGGAGTCGACAAGGTGAGATTCAGAAAGCCCGTAATTGCAGGAGACACTCTTGTAATGAGAATGAACCTTGTCAAGCTTCAAAAGCGTTTTGGCATAGCAAAGATGGAAGGCAAGGCATATGTTGGTGGTGATGTAGTTTGTGAGGGTGAATTCTTGATGGCTATGGGAAGTGAGTGATATGCTCATTTTTATTTATTTGGTTTTGCTGTTGTAGTTTTGCAGATGTTTTAAGTTTATGTCCTGCTTAATTTTCTTTAGTCCTTGTGTTTGTGAGGGTAATTTTTGCGATCGTTCACTGTTTTCTTGTTTTGAGCTAAAAGACTCATGTTTGGCTGCTGAAAATAAATTTTCGGTGTTAAATGGTGGCTGAATCCTGCTTCCCATTTGCCTATTGGTCCCTTAATTTTCACGAATGATACAATGTTCGCACAAAAGGAATGCGGATTGCAGATGTGAATCCAAGTAATTTTGAGATTCATGCTTTGATACTCTCCGAATAGGCAAAATCAATCACGCAATCATACTTATTCAATAAATCTCTCTCTCTATATATATAGGGGCAGATCAAATGGGATCAATTCTTAAAATGGGACCATCTCTTAAAATGAGACCAGTTTTTAGCAACTACAGACAACTAATCTAACTACTACTAACCTAGCAACTACAGAGAACTAACCTAGCAACTACAGAGAACTAACCTAACAACTACAGACAACTAACCTAACTACTACTAACCTAACAACTACAGAGAACTAACCTAGTAACTACTAACTTAGCAACTACAGAGAACTAACATAGAACTTAGCAACTACAGAGAACTAACATAGCAACTACAGAAAACTAACCTGACAGCAAGAAAGAAATAACCTAGCAACAAATGACAACTAACCTAGCAGCAAGAAAGAACTAACCTAGCAACAAAACACAACTAACCTAGCAACAAAAGACAACTAACCTAGCAGCAAGAAAAAAATAACCTAGCAACTTAAGACAACTAACCTAGCAACAAAACTCACTAACCTAGCAGCTACAATTAACTAACCTAGCAACAACAGACAACTAACCTAGCAGCATCAGACAACTAACCTAGCAGCAAGAAAAAAATAACCTAGCAACTTAAGACAACTAACCTAGCAACAAAACTCAACTAACCTAGCAGCTTGAGAGGAGGCTTGATCCAGGACCACAGCGGCGCCCTCATCACCGCCTTCCACGCGCCCCTTCAAGCCTCCTCAAGCTAAGATGCGGAGATTCAGGAATTACAGATCGGCCTTCAGATTGTTGTCCACCTCTCTAGCCACATTTGGATCGAGCTAGACGCTGCGGCTGTCGCCACCCTTTTGACCTCGGACCACCAGGGCTCGTGGCAGATCCAGCACCCGCTTATGCGTATTAGAGCCCTACTCCGGTCTGTCCATCACAGGATCACGTACATTTTCCGTGAGGGGAACAGACCTGCTGACTATCTTGCCAGCCTTGGCGCCATCATACCAGACACACATACATTTCAGACCGACACTGCTCCACTCCGCTTACGCTCGCTTGTTCGAATGGACCAGCTTGGATATCCATCGTTCCGATTTTAGTAGATTCAGTTTGGCTCTCATTGGATTGGATCTTGCTTTCGGGCATCTGTTAGCCCGCGGACAGACTTTGTATTATTTTTTCCTTTTTGGTTTTCTTTTGTTGTTTTTGTTTTGTTTTTGCTTCAGAGACTTTGCTCACTGTAGTTTGTTGACACTTTGGGCCCCAGTTTTCGGGTTTTGATCTATGTACAAGTTGGGGATCCAGTCCAATCCCCCGCCCTTCCGGGGTGTTGTTTGTTAAATACAAATAACTAAACTAGCAACAACAAACAACTAACCTAGCAACAAAACACAACTAACCTAGCAAGAAAGAAATAACATAACAACAAAAGACAAATGGTCAACGATCAACGAATTTCGCCGGAAGTCAACGGTCAATGCCGGAGTCAATGGTCAACGCTGGAGTCAACGGTCAATGGTCATAATAATATTTAAATAATTAAAAATAAAGAATTAAATAATAAAAATAAAGAATTATTATTTAAATCAAGATATAAATCTTGTGGTTAGGAATGAGCCTCACGTCCTCACTTTAAATAAGCGGATGCATTTGAACCAATCCCTATATATATATATATATAATAAGAATAATCATTCACTAAAAATAGTAGTCAATAATTTTGGAAGCATTTAATGCATACCTTTTTTGGAAACTTTTTAAATATATACATTAATTGTTTCTATATACAAATTTTTAAATAAGATCAAATCAGATATGATCAAAAATATTATTTTCTTAAATAATTTTATTAATATCTGCAATAGTTTCATTGATATCCATTATAATAAATTACATGATTGATTTTTCGTGATTCATGTTGATAATATTTTGCTCAAGATAATTATTACAACATATTTTAAGTTCTAACCATAATATTAATTTTTTTTCACAAATATTCACTTTTTATCTTAAAATATTTATAGAAAACCGTAACAGGTTAGGTAGAATTTCTTCTTCCAATTATTCAGGCGAAATCAAGTGTGTGAATTAATCTTTGCCAATACATTTTTTTCTTAAGATTTATTTCGTTATATATAAAAAATAAATTATTCCTCAAATTAATATAATTTACCATTTAAGCGATAATGCCCAGATACATTAAATAGTTTTACTAATGGTCAAAAATGAAAATTGAAATATATTAACTGTTCAAGAATTTATTTGTATATTATTGGTAACCATATTTTTTTTTATCATTTTTTTTATTTTGATTTCTTTCTATAATGAAATTCTTGTAAAATATATTTTCGTTGCCGAGTATGCTAAATAAACTATAAATCCTTATAATGAGAATTAGAAAAATCTTGATATAGAATCGATTGAGTTTTTGGCATTTGCTAAATCAAAGCTGTTTAATTAGTATACAATATTAAATTGTAAAAACACATGTGTGCATATTTTGTAAAATATTTATACACTATTTAATTTTAAATTTATTACATGTTTTAAATTGATTACATAAATAAATAATACTAACGTGCATTAAATATTTTTCAAGAAAAAGAAGACGTACAACTTCTATAACTTTTATATATAAGAATGACATTATATGACAATAAAGTTTATAATAAAATAATAATTACGTATTACATAATGAACAATAATAGTAAAATTGTTGTGTTCTCTTATATAAAGGAATAAATATACTAAAATCAAATTTATATTAATATAAATGTGTTAGTGAGATAATATATTAATTATTTTACAAGTTAGCCCTAAGATGCTCGTATTTAATGTTCTGACTAAAAAAACGCTAATTAAAAGATGTGAAAAATAGATTATAACTCTATTGTTGTTTAGACTTAACGCTGATTAAAAGAGATGAAAAATAGATGATAAACTTATTGCTTTTTACACTTAAACGGACATAGCCTGTGAAAATAACTTATTTAATATATCTGTCTCGTGCATTGCACGGTTACGTACTAGTATGTATATATTTAAATTAAAATATCATATTCTGAAAAGTATAAATAAAAGTACGATAATTTATAACACTAATAAAGTACACGTGGGATGCACGTGGTGTTGAATGTGTTTTGCCAATTAAGTTCAGTAAAATTAATTAATTAATTTAGTAAACATATTATTGCAGGATTAAAATAAATGTACAGCAAATGAGCTTTTCACGTTTATTTTTTTAAAATAATATAATGATGTCCTAATGTAAAAATAATAAAATAACATATTATAACCCCAATAAAGAACAACAAATAAACTCTAAAGCTCGAATAAGAGTTAGGCCTTACCAAAGCAAGACATCCTAGCTCTCGAGGTTATATAAAAAATTAATCACAAATGAAAAATAAAAACAAACACTAAATAACTAAATAAGTATCTATTGTATATTATAGATGCATTAGTTCTTTTATTTCTTTATGTTAGATCATTCAAAAGTGATTTTCTTTCGTTTTGGTTTGGACATTTTCATTAGAAACATTCATATCCATTGGAGCCCAATACAATAGTATTGCGAGATTCTTTTTAATTCATTTGGCAAAACGCCTAATTTATTCAAACACTTAAAAAAATTCTGACCAAACATATAGTAGAATTCATGATTATATGATTTTTATATGGTATTTCCACTAACACTTCATGAATATATATGTGAAATTACCAATCGCGTCATTAAAATTGCTAATATATATATTTTTTTTATCATTGTATAAACTTCTGCATTACTCTCTCCATATAGACAAATTGGTTCCTACTCCATGTTGGCATTGCCTCACAGGGTGGAAATGAATTTCATCTCCAATGGTCCGAAATGACCCGTGACAGGCTCGGTTTCAACCTGATCTAGACTCCTGTCTGGTAGATGACCTTCGTGACCTGCAAAAGCTGGACACCAAAGGGAGTTTTTCCGGTAAATAGTCTCCGATGCTTAAATTAGCAAGATGTATGAGATAATGAATTGTATGTAAGTGTGTAGAGAATGTAATGTTCTAGAGGGCATACCCACTCCTTTTATAGGAAGTGTTACCTTGTTGCCCAAGACTGCTCGAGTGAGCTAAGATGCTGGAATCTCAATGTCATGGGTAAGGTCAAACACTTCATTTGGAAGTGTTTTTCAAATGTTCAGCCTGTTAGATGCAATATTATTGATAGGGGTCTTCATCTGGAATCTGTGTGCCAAGTGTGTGGGGAAGCTGATGAAACTCAGGAGCATGTCCTTTTCCAATGTATTAGAGCCCAAAAAACTTGGAAACTGCCACCTGTCCAATGGAATAGGATATAATAGGAGCATATGACCTTTAAGAAATGATGGTGGTGGGTAAGCACAATGAATTTCCAGGAAATTTCTGAAGACAGATTTCAATTGTCCACCTACATTCTTTGGTAGCCATGGAAGGCGAGAAATCTCTGGGTTTTTTAGAACCAGTGGCACCCGAAGACTTGGATCATCAAAATAGCAATGCAGAAATGGCTTGACTTAAAAAGCAGCAGAATGAGGACTTAACTGAAGAAGGAATGAGGTGAACTAGGTCTAGTGCCAGTGGTGTATCTCTTTCTTTTCTTTATGTTCAGTGCTATGCTTATGAGTTTGTCATTTGTGTTTGTATAGTGATTCAGATGGTATGGGTGTTGTGTGTATTGAGCCGACTGAGGCTGCTTGACTGTTTGGGTGACTGTCTTGTTAGTTGTGTGATCTCGTCTAGGCAGCATGCATGATGTTTGTCCTATCAGTTACCCAGGATTGGGGTTTCCCCCATGTACATTACCTTTTTTCGGTTTTATTGGAGTTTATTATGCCGTTNGGAAAAAAAAAAAAAAAACATGACTTTCAAATTTTAAATAAAAATAGAAAAATTGTATCCCATAATTTTTGGCAGAAAATGATCCGGGAAAAAATCTCGCATCGCAACATAACTTTCAAAATTTAAATAAAGTAGAAAATTGGTTATCATAATTTTAGGGAAATAAAGATTTGAGGCAAAAAAGGAGTAAAAAACCTTGCATAACATAATTTTAATAATTATTACTATTTGGCCCAACATTCAAAATTTAATTTAAAATTTCTATATTTAGTAAACACAAAATTTATAGACATAAATTCCATTAAACTTCTTGAGTTTATCTCAGATGCTCTCAAATTAATCTATTGAAATTTTGTTTCAGCTAACTGCTTGGATTCATTTTTTTTTTCATTGAGTCTCGACAGATATTATATTTTTTTTATTTTTATTTATTGTCAAAATTAGGTGTTGATAATTTTTTTGTTTAAAAGAATTTATTATTTATTTAATCTCATTTTATATTCTCAATTTTATCAATACAATTAACAATAAAATGCAATCATTAAAATATATTTTTTAACAAACGTCACAATTCATCCATTCACTTTTTTTTATCAATAATTTATTTTTATTATTTATTATTATTCTATCACATCAATATTAATTATTATATTTTATCTCATACTCATTCCTAATCTCATAAATATTTCATTCTTTCACCAAAATAATTTTTTTGTTCTTTAACTCACTTTATTCATTCAAGCATTTGATTTAAATAACTTATATCCAATCTCACCGAGTACCATTTATTATATCATCTAATTTTTCAGTAATCAGTTTGAACTATCATCTAACAACTATCATTTAGATTAACAAACATAAACTATCATTTAGATTAACAAACATACCCATATGTTTTTCACATTCTTCAAATAGAAACACAAAATATTTCATTTTTATTTATGAAAAAGTAACTATTAATTTTATATTATTGAAAAGTATGATTATCCACTTAAAATTATTTTACTGAAAGAATTCACATTACCTTTTGGTATGAGAGATGTTGGAGTGCAGTTGAATATATTTTTATGATTGAATAATTTTTTCTTTTTGCTAAAAGAAGAGTTATCGAAATAATTAATTCAAAGTGAGATGATATAAATACAATATTTACTTGGGTGTGATAGAAAAGTAACAAATTATCAATTATAAAGATATGATTGGATGGATAATAAATTTTGAAATAATTACAAATTATGTTGTAAAAATAAAAAATAAATGAAATAAAATACGTAATTTATTTATTTCTTAAAAGATATATGCCATGCCACTCTCTATCAATGCAATAGCCACATGTCAACTCAAAGAAAAACACGGTGCTCTTATTTTCTAACACGCGGATAATCATGATATAACACGAAAGACGCGTTTTTGAACCTAAGCACCAGAAAATAATAGTAAAGCTAAAGATATCCCACAACTTTTTTGTTGGCTAATTGTTCACAGCAATCGGCGCAGGCCCTTGCCCTTGACCAACCCACGCCACGCTTACAATTGTCTTCTTATTTCATCATTTGGTTTATAATCGAATTAGTAGGGCTCGTTTACTTTGAGGGATTAGATTGATAAGATGAATTGTCCCTCAATATCCCTTGTTTACATTAATTGATTGGGACAGGATTATATGAGTTGGAATCACATGTGGCGGCGGGACCCACGTTGAAATAATGTGTTGGCAGATTATTTTCATCTCACCAAGAAGAGGTGATTAATTAATCATGCACTGTTCAAGACTTTTTTGTCCTCAAAACTGGATGCAAATGGACCATTGTACCCCTCAAAGTTGATTTAATTACTAAACACACCATAGTCTTATCACATCCCTCAAAGTAAACATGGGGCTAAATGCTGACATGTAAAGGTAACTCGATTATTTAGTCTTATCCCATCCCTCAAAGTAAACGAGCCCCTAGTGTATGTGTAGTGAACCATCTCAACCTAATAAAATAAAATCATTGATTAATTGGAATCTTTGGCATAGAATGAGGAACATCATCTCATCCCATACCATGATTGAAAAGAATTTTGCATTTATGGCTTTGAATTTATCATCTCCCAACCTTTTGACCTTTAGTGCAACGGTACAACCTGAGAAAAAGGTCCATTTCATATTTGCCTAATAATATATTCAAACTCAGTTTAGAAAATGTGACCCGCCCCAATCCCAAAATTAAAAAAACTTTTAATTAACCAGTTCAAAGGGAATTTTATGCACCTCAATTCAGAGAGTAATTTTGCTAAGAGAAAACGAGGAACAATCTGGACCACCTCAAACTTATATTACTGTTCTCATTTAAAATCATGTAGAGCGAAAACAAAAAAAAAAAAAAAAANATAAAAAAAAAAAAAAAAAAAAAAAATTTATCTTCTTAATGAGTTACTGGAAGGAGTTAGTCGAATAACTCATGTTCAAGCTTGTATTCTTAGTGAATGAGTCGACTTGACATATTGAATAAATTATTGTAAACCGATTTCAAAATTATAAAACCAAAACTTTAACATAGTTGTTCGCGAGTTGACTCGTGCAATATAAAAGCTGGATTAATTGTTTGAATATGACCTATTTAAGTGTAAGAAACAGTCTGAGCTCAAACTTTCACTAACCAAATTGAATTGTATCCGCGATCAGTTTGGTTCGAATAACAACTCTGTATCATCCCCATGTAAAAAAGTTTTCTGACTACTCTCCTACCTACTTGTTTCATAAAAACATTCCAAAAGGTGCTACTACATTTAAAATAAAATTTGTAGAAGTATATAATTAACATCACATGCAAATTTGTTCACATGAATAAATGTGCACATAATGATGTCACAATTGCACACACATTAATCATTTAAATGAAAAAGTGAGGTGAAACATAGAAGTGAAAGGATAACTACTTTATTACAACTAATACGGTAACCGTACGATGTACGGGAGCATTTATTACCTATTTAATTTTTAAAAGGTATTTTTGTATTTACATTGTCTCATTCGATTATAAATTTCATGAAAATGCAATTTGTATGTTATTAAACACTTCCTTATGTACAACATTATTGATTTGATTATTTGGTACGTAAAGTACTACATAGGTGTTCGAATTTATTCAAAATTGCATATTATTAGTTATTAGTTAACAAATTTCAAAAAAATTAAAGGATCTTATTTATTAAACAAAATTAAAGTAGAAAAAAAAGGTTGAATTTTTTAAGGACTTCCACCCATTATTTATTTTAAATCTAATTCTAAATTTCAATTAAGAAAAATTAAAAAAGAATCATTAGTTACTCCTAGAAATGAACAAAAATTTTATGGAACCATCAGATGGTTTTCTTATGAAGCCATCAACCACTTAATGTATTGACACTTGTCCAAAGTGTATTTATTGCAGGACACGTGTCAATACACTATTGGTGAATAAGGGTGGAGACTCCATAAGCCGAGCTATCCGATGGCTCCATAGCAAAACTGATAAAATGAAACCTATTTTCCTACCAATAACTGATTTTTTTATCAAACAAATTGATCCGATTTTTTTTTCTAAAACCAATAAAAAAATCATCAATTTTTCCTAAAAATGCAACCAAATTTTCCTAACATTGCACTGATTTTTGTTCCAAATAAATTGAATTGAAAATAATTCTAATAAAAAATTGAAATAAATTGTTAATGTTTATGCAATTGTCTCTTTCCTAGAAAAAATATTTGAACTTAACA